TTGTTTTAAACATAGTGCTTGCAAATCAGAAGGGACAGGGCGATTGAACTGAGTAGCTGAATGTTCTAGGATTCAGACAAACACTGCAGCAGGCAACAGGCCAGCCACTTAAAAGAGCAACCTCCCTTCCTTCATGTCAGCTTTTCTGCTAGCAACTCAAGTAGTTTATTTAAATCAATATTTACTTTAAATATTATGATTAAGTGACAATAATTTACCAAGATTAAAATGAAGCTGTGATAAGAACGGAGCCAAAGCATACACTAGAACACTTTTAACAAGAAATACACTTTGCAAGGAGGATGGACCCCGTTACGCTGAGATGTGCTGAGGGTGTCAGACCTGTCACACCGTATGATTGTGTTTGAAGGTGGGTCCCCATAAAGGTCGTTATTGAGGTTGTGCTGCTATGGCTGGAAAATATTCTCAGAGGTCAGCTTTGTGCTACGAAGGCCCTTTGAGACACTAAAGATGATCATGAAAACCCAAACAAGGCTTTCCAGCATAGCTGAAGCTATTGCTGTGAGGTGGTGGGATGATACAGGACTGTTCCACTGGTGACAGCAGTCACTAGAAGGGGCATCCTTTCCCTTCTCCCTCCAGACAGCAGCAATTGGTGCCATCTCAACTGTGGAATAGGGCAGCTGGGCAATGGCTGCTGGGCCACCATGAACAACCTCAAGTTCAGGACTAGCCTTATTACTATGTCTCGTACATAAGCAAAATCGTTTTCTTTGACAAGATAAAAACTTTACAAAACAAATGATTTTTTGAATAAAACATAAAAAAAAGCAAAAAAGCAAGACGTCCTCTGCATTCACTGGCCCCTAAGATTCCAGCAGCCAACCAGTTCACGTGGATGTGTGTGCGAGCGCCCTATCATACGTCCATCCAAGAAGCAGTACACAGCTCTGCCGAGGTAATACCACTCCCCTTACAGAAGCTGTCTTCAGCTAGTCTTGAATGATTACAGACTTCTCTCCCACAAGTTGGCACTTGCTTTTTGATATGAAACAGGAATGACACCTAGTCCTGAGAAGGTGGTACGCAATTTTGTTTGATGACCAATATAAAATCTGCTTCAGAGTCCTGCAGGTGAAAAGCTCATGAAAAAAAAAGCTTGAAAGTGAAGTTTTCTCTATGAAACTACTGCTTCTAGGTTTTGTAATGAGAAAATCTACCTGAGTTAGCATACATCCCGCTAAGGAGTGTAAATACTATAATGGTGCTAGATAATCTGTCAGTAAGAGTCTCTAAAATAGTTGTTCCCCCTGCCTAATGACTCTTCAACATTTCTTGCAATTGATGGGATAAAGCTATTCCACCTCTATCTTCTACATAAAAGCTGTATTTTCTTTTTGGCTCCTGTGAGGAAGTGGCACCAGTTTTGTGATCATAATTTATTATGTCCATAAGGCCACATAGCAACAGCTGTGACTCTGGTTCACGCCTTGCTTTATTCTTCAGGGGAATTAATCAAAACTGCATTACCAAATATGACAATAAGGCAAGGCTGAAGTTTCCAAGGCTGTAATTAGGAAAGTGTCAGTGTCAATACTATAAATTCAATTTTTTGAGGGATTTATAATTGAAATGTGAAAATGTACTCCCAGCTGAAAGACTCTCTTTTCAGATCTTATAGTATGAATTGTGATTATATTTTTTTACAATTCAAGGAGCCTCTTAAAATTATAGAAAAATGTTAAACTGGGGGAGGGGGAAGGAAAGAAAAATAAAGAAAAAAGGAAGGAAGATTTAATCCTAGTGGCTAACCTCCTTTTTAAACACACAGGCTTTGCAGGGGCCAGATTCACCAACTCAGAGAACTGATTTTCCCACACCTCTCGTCAGCACATGTATACAGGGCTTTTTTCTGAGGACTGAACACATCGCCCAATAATTATCTGTGACTGTGAGGTCCATAGTCTTTACAGGGAATTCTGTTGTCTGCCTGATTTTGAGGTTTGACAGCTGGATGGCAGAGTTGCTGATTCTGACAGTAACTGGAACCTTCAGTTGTGATTGCAAGAGTGTCTGAGTACACTTTTGGAGTAGTGGATGTGCTGGGTAACAGCTGTTTTTTCTAAGAGTTACCATTTTATTGGTTTGTTTTTAAGGATTACTTTCTTCATCTCTATATGGCTGAGATTTTGTTACATCCAGCAATTCAATGTTATGATCTCCACTGCAGCTATGATATTCTTACATAAACAAATTCTCTTTGTTTGATGACTCTTAAGAGAGAGTTTTATGAGGTACTCTAGGGCTGTGCAAGAAATGTTGGGAGGTTTCAGTCTTCCTTCCAGGACACCACTGAGGCACAACCACACTGAAATATGTCTAGACCAAAGCTGGATATACTTTGTAGTAGTGCTTCACTTCTGCAGCAAAGTCTCTGAGTATCATAAAGATGGTCAACTCCATGCCTGTGTGGCTTGCGAATTGTTCAAGGGTGGTTCCTGTGCGGAAGCTATGCCATATGAGGAGGCTGTTGGTACTTGGGCAAGTGAAGCAGAACCAGGACGGGCTGCTGAGGTTGGTATTTGCTGTAACTCAGATTCACTGTCAACGTAACCAGATGAATTCCACATCTGACAGCTGGAATTCAGAGGATACTGTTATCTCCTGCTTGTAAAATGCTCACGATCATGTGCACCCTTTAGTTTTCTGTGGTGTGGAGTGTGTACTCTGTGGCTTTGACCATACGAATGTTTTGGTATTAGCTTTTGCAGCTGGGGAAGTTGGTTGCTTGGTGCTAGCATTCTGTCACCCTTCACGTAATTTCAAAGGCAGCTTCAACAGGAAACATTGAAGGCTTTAAAGATGAAAAGGTAAAAACAAAGCATGGGAGAGACATCTTGGTGTGACTGATACATATTTTACTATTCCTGTTTTTTTTGACTATCATGTCTCCTGTTAAGATGTTGTTCTGTGAGTTCCTAATTGTGTCACATGTTAGAAAGGGGTATGACTTGTGGAAAAATGTGAAGAGTCTTTAGCAAGGCAGCTCATGAAATAATGAAGGATGATGAGCTTGTAATGGTCATTTTTTTATTTTGCATTGAAAATGATCCACACCCTTCACATGTATTGGGGTTTCAGGCTTTGTTTCCTTTTGTGGTGGTATATTTTGAATATACTCTTCAATTCTGATCCTGATAAGTCATGCTTATGTAAAATTCTCTGGTGCTTTTAATTATGATAAAAGGCTTGTTAGTTTGGATTTGTGAGGAGTTTCTCAAATTACCCCTACAGCTTTTGCTGGGTACAATTGTCATTTTCTTCTCTTTCTAGGTAGCTAGGTAATAGTGCTGTTGATGTTTGTTTGCAGAACTTGTCCCTACCCTATTCCAGGTATCATTTTGTTTCAGTCATTTCTGCGTGTCTAGGGTGCAAGTATTTATAAAATACAATGTTTGGCTACTGTTTAACCATTCATAAAGCTGGCTGAAACTATGGGAAACATTTATTTCCTTGCAGTAGATTAGATTCTAGTCTGTTAAAAGGGTTAAAACTTAAACAGGGGATGTTTAGATTGGATATAAGGAGGAAATTCTTTACTGTGAGGGTGGTGAGGCACTGGAATGGGTTGTCCAGGGAAGTGGTGAATGCTCCATCCCTGGCAGTGTTCAAGGCCAGCTTGGACAGAGCCTTGGGTGACATGGTTTAGTGTGAGGTGTCCCTGCCCATGGCAGGGGGGTTGGAACTTGATGATCTTAAGGTCCTTTCCAACCCTAACTATTCTATGATTCTATGAATTGTCGTGACTTGTCCCCTGTTTTCTGCCTGTGAATACAGGAATTTTCCCCAGGTTTATTGAATTGGTCTGAGACAAACCCCGATACCTCAAATTCTACGGCAGTATTGGGGCTTGACCTCAGAACAGTATGACATGTGTTGTCACTGCTCTTCTGAATCCTAACCTGGTAAATACTTAAAGTACTGCCGATTGTAAGCTGAAGTGGTTGTCTTATATTGCACTTTTTAAACGATCCACTACAATGAGTAAATTTTGACTTGAAAACCTCAACTCCAGTGACAGTGAAGTTTTAAAGCTTTTCCTAAACTCGCTCTCTCAAAGTTCCGTTCAATATTTAGCAATTCCCAGCCGTGCTAGCGACCTTTCCTCTCCGCATGAGCAGAACGGACGAACGGCTAAGTGGCGGGGCATGGCAGGAGGGGGCACAGCGCGGCTCCCCCTCCCGCCTCACGGTGGCTGTGAGGCCCGGAGGGGACACTGGCAGCAGGGAGCCCGCTTCGACACCTGCACCGCGGGGAAGTGGAGATAAGGGGGGGGGGGGGGGCCCCCGGCCGGGGGGCGAAGAGCTCCGGCCCGCTGAGGGTGGAAGAACCGCTCCGGTCCCGGCTGAGGGGAACTGGCACCGAGTGCCCAGCCAGCCCCGCGCGCCAGGGGGTGGCCGTAGGGGGTCACGTGACCCCGCCCCTTCCCGGTTGCAGCCGAAGCAGAAGCGGGAGTCCCGGGAGCGCGGCGGGACGCGGAGGTACCGGTACCGGCGGGAGGCAGCTCCCCGCCGCTGCGCAGGTGGGGGCGGTCCCCGTGGATGGGGCAGCAGGTGCCGCTGGGCTGGGGCGGAACAGCCGCACCCCGCGCAGGTTTCACTCGGTGGGTGCGAGGGAGGGTCGTGTGAGGGGAGGCGAGGGGTGAGGCACGGGCGGGCTGCGCAGCAGGTGCGAGGGAAGGCCGTGCTGGGGTGCGTGGCGCTGGCCGGAACGGGACAGGGGCTCCTTGAGGGGACCCTGCCACCCCGCACCTTGTGGCCGCTCTCCGCCGCAGGCCAGGCTGCCGTAGAAAAAGGAAGGAAACCTTTAACTTGTGCCTGACAGCAGCCCCGTGCCATGCATGGCTCTGCCCAGGGTGAGGGCCCCAGCGTGGGGCCTCCAGGCCATGACAAGTGGGCAGCCAGCCTTCCTGGTGCGGTTCCACTGCCCTGTGTTGGTCTGAGGGCCACAGCTGCGTCGCGGAGCAATGCACAAAGATCCATGCGTTGATAGTAATTTATTAGCTCTGTGGTACTGGTGTGTTGGTGGTGGACATGCATACTGGTGGTGCTGTGCTTGGGTGAGGTGGTGTCCTAAGTGCATCCAAAGGCAGAGCTAAGGGCAGGAGATGCAGTGGTCCTTTTGCAGTGCTGAAAGCACAAAGAAACTTTGATGAGTCAAACTTTGAATATTACTTTTTGGCTATACTCATGAGCCTGGAAAGTACCTGCTGTGTCATGTAGGTGAAGTTTTAACAAGAGTATCGATTCACCAGTACTTATCTGTGATGTTCTTTACTAGTATGTGCATCTGTAGTTTGCCTTTAGTGCAGTTTTTCCACTCTTTGTGTTATCACAAAGGGAGTTAAGAGTTGTAGACTGATCTTCAGATAAGAAGGGTTTGATTCTGTAAAGTACTGTAATAAAGTAAAACTAAATGTGCAGGTTTCTGGATAGATTAAGTAGTGGTTTTTTTTTTTTTCTGTGTCCATGTTCACTTGTTTACTTGTAGTGAGTCTTTCTGACTTTTTAGTCCAAATCAGTCTGGCTTTTCAATAAAAAAAAGTATCAGAACTACTCTTATTACACAAACAGTAACAAGTGGTCCCAGTTCTGTATGTGGTACAGGACACCATCAATATTTAGCTCCTATAGTGCCTGTAATCAGAAGGAAACAGTTATGTATTGGTGAATAGAACTGAACTAGAGCTTGTGATATGTTTCTGTGATTGTTAGCTCACTTGTTGAATCGTGTAAGTGAAGCAGGGGATCTTTCTACTTTAGGTTTCAATAGCTCTTCGGTAGAAGACCAATAATGCTTCTATTGCTCATAAGGGTGTCTTTAGCTCATACCCTGCTAGCTTAGAGGTATCCAGAAAATGGAGCAAGGAGGCTCATTACAGAGTTCTGCTGTGTGAATAGGTAGAAATATTGTTGATTCAAATGGTTGTGCAGTGATGGGTATAAGAAAGCTGAAGGGCACCTGTGGGTATGTGTAAGACTCTTAATATTTAAAATATTAGCTCTAATATCAAGTGATTCTATTAGTTCTTTTGGGAGGTCTGATGTGTTTTACTATCAGGCAGCTCAATGTGACGTTATTCTTAAACTGGAGCAGGTTGCCAGAACAGGAGATAAGTGGTCAGTGATAATGAGCAAATGTAACAACTCTTTCCACCTTTTCTGGTGAAGTAGATATCCTCAACTGTTTCACAGTAAGTTAAAAACTACGGTTTAGTATTTAAGTTAGTCTAAAACTGCTGTTTGCTCTGTTTTTGGAAGAAAGAGCTACTTCAAAAGGGGAAGTCCAGTATTTTATATTCAGCGGAAACTTCTTAAGAAGCCACCTCTGAGAGGCAGTTCCTTTGTACATAGGGACTAATTTATCAAAAATACCTGCTGCATTGCCTTTATATTAAACTGTACTTAGAAACTCCTTTTCTTGTTGTTCTAAGTCATGTTTCATTTTACATCTGAACCTTCTTCTGTGAAAAGCAGAGAAGATGTATAATTTGTTATAGCCTCTTGAAAAACTATGCTCATTGAAAAGTTGGGGGGTTTATTATTGCAGTGAAGTGTTACTGAAATGGGTAAACCTTGTTCCAAATCACAGCATATTCCTTTTATTACATTTCTTAATGTAAAGAGCAAAGTGAGATGGGGTTTCTTTTTGTTTGTCAGAAAACCAGACACTCTGTAAAGACTCTATTTTTTCATTTTCCCTTCCTTTCATTTCTGTTATTACAAGTTGGTGTAGCAAGACAAGTGTGGCTGTCTTGTTAGTGGCAAGCCCGTGCTAATTTAAATGATCATCTGATTAGTTCCAGGGAGTCAAAGAGGATCAGTTACATTCCGGCTAAAATCTGCTGTTGCTTACTACACTTAAAAGTTGTCCGCTCTCTTTCACTTGTAGGATTGGGATATATATTTTTCTTTCAGTATTGCAAGGATATTAAATTTTCATATTAAAATAACAATTTATGGATATTAAATACCAAATAACCTGTATAATGTTTTGCAAAACATGGAGTGAGGTATGGTTCATGCTGTAGAGCACTTGAGGTTCACTGGGGGCAGTGCTGAAGAGACCACTTCATAGTTAAGAAGGGACTGTTGTTCTCTTCTCTGTAAAGGAAAAAGGTGTTTATTGAATTGGTAGAATTTAAAAAGGGGTTGGAACAGTTGCACCAAACTGCCTCAGACTGCATGAAAAGCAGCTAGTGGCACACTGTTGAAAGACAGTTTTGTGGTATTAATGAGAGCAGAAAAAAGCACTCTTTAGTGAAGAGTAGGTCAGGAGATAGTGACATGGGGTGAGGGGGAGGAGGATCAGAAGAAGGGGAAGCGAAAAGTGTCATGGTTGAATTAGCTATCAACACGGAAACTGAAACTGCTTGTGACGGAGAGTAGTGGACTGAGGAGAGAGGAACAGAACCAGAGGAGATGCTGTGGCTGGTGGCTGCATGTGCACAGAGATTTTTTTAAACTTGTCCTATTCAGGGTTGTGGTTAAGGGGGGTGTTTGGGAATTGTGGGGCAGCAGCTCCTGCCACTTGCGTGAAAATGATACACTTCTTTCTTTGTGCATGGATAAAAGAGCAGGTTCCAGGGCATCTTGTTTGCAAATAATATTGCAGAGGAGTGTTTGGGCTTGTAATTAGCTTTTGATGCAGCGATGCGTGGGAGACCAAAGCACAGAAACTCATGAGAGCTGCTGCACACGCATTTTTCTTTTGCCTGTTTTATGCCAAGATGTGTCCCAAGTGCATGCATACAAATACCTGCCACGTGACATGTGAGTAAGGAAAAGTAGACTGTGTAGGAGAAACAGCCGTGAAGTTTCAAAGGGGCATAAACTGAGTCTTTTTAGACATAGCCAGCAGTCGTTTCAGTATTTTGTATTTACTCATACTTTCCCCTCATTTTCTTTACATCTCTCAGGAGGACCGTTAGCTGGTTTAAATTTTCATATAGCTCTCACATAGGTTTAAATTCTCTTATAATGCAAGAGTTCACACAAGCTGGTGTCATTATTTCATGTGTTATCTTGTCACTGGGTTGGTAGGCTTCCATCATCAGCACTTCCTCGCTCCTGATGTAGTATCAGGAAGACGGCAGCTCTGGCCGAAGTGCCTGTGATTGCTTCTCAGACTTCAGAGGTCTCTTCAGGCAGCAAGCTCATGCTTCATTAGTAGTACAGGGCAAAGAAGACCAACAACAAATTTGCTGCTGTTCACCATGGAAACAGAATTTTGATTATCTGAAAATGCCATTTGGAATATAAAAAAAATCATAGGAGAAAGTTTTTTTTTTTTTTTTTTTTTAGTATGATTCAGATCTGTTGCAGATATTTGTTGTGTTGACGTTAAGGTTCTCAATATTTAGGACAAAATGAATTTCCAGATATTTCTTACAGTAGTGAAAACTAAATTATCCTTAGTTTCAAGAATGTAAAGTTTAACTTCCAGCTCACAGAGAACTTGTGAGATTTTATGGATCATAATTTTACAAATATCCTAAAGCAATAAAGAAATCCCTCTAGGAATGGTGATACCTCATAAAAGTTACTTCTGTCTCTGTGTCAGAGAGTATCTCCATGAGCAAAGACCTCTCACTATATAAATTAATAAAAGCAGATTTGATGCTTGAAAGAAATTTGCTAGGGTTAAAGTGCACATTTTTGATGTCTTAGGAGACTCTAATAAATTTTGCTGCAGTGTGTCTACCAAAGCATCACTGGTATCTCCTTCTGTGAAGACTGTTCGTACTTTCAGGGTAAAATGGCAAAGATGCAGTTAATGTAAGCCATGTGTCTACTGTTTTAAATACTGAATTTTTTCTGTTTTCTTTTTTTTCAGACACTGAAAAGCCATAAAAGTTTGACTAAAAAATACAAAAATGCCCAGAAAGAGTATAGACTATGGAGTTCTTCCAGAGTATGAGAAAAGCCAGATCAAAAGGACCTTGGAGTTGGGAACTGTTATGACAGTATTCAGTCTTAAGAAGAGTAGTCCAGAAAGGAGGACTATTCAGGTCATAATGGAAACGAGGCAGGTGGCATGGAGCAAAACAGCTGACAAAATTGAAGGTTTCTGTGAGTATTTGCAAAGTGTACCTGAACGTGGAGTTACTAATAAATTGATGTAATTGTCAAGTGTTGATTTAATGATTCTTTGTTAACATAATGAAGTTTTTGTCTGAAAGGAGTTTGATAGTTTGCTGAGAATACTCTGAGTCATTGCAATGCAGATGAAGAATCTTCTGCAACTTATTATTTAGGTATTTAACGCTACTTAAATATGTTTAATGTGCTTTTGCCCTAAGCCCTGATCTTAAAGTCTTCATCTTTAAATATGATGGTGCTTGTGTTATCTGAATTGAGTTACTGAGTGACAGCTCTTTTCCAGTAAGCATCAAGATGTCTTGTAAATTCAAACACGTCGTACTTCTTTACACTTTCTCAAAAAAAACCCTTTCCAAATTCAAGGAAACTGAAGTGCAATTTCTGTTTTCTTAGGGAATTTGCTGTTTCAGTACAGAAATCATTATTTATGACCAGTATTGGAAAGTACCAATGACTTAGTAGGATGAAGCTGTGGGTTATAAAGCATAGTTTCGGGGTCCTGAGTTGATACTGTCTCTTTAATTAGTATCTAAACTGACTGACTGAACCCATTATTTATAACAAATTTGGGAAATAGAAGTGTAAAGCTACATAGGACTGCAAAAGCTATGGTAGAAGAATAAACTGAGACTAATATTCAGTTTTTACTGAGCATGGCTGATGTCAACCAAGCTCAGCCTGTGCTTTCTGGTGTTTGTACAGCTCCTATTATTATAATGTAATCACTGCTTTCATATGACTTCTTTTATTTATTTAGCTCTTATCATGGGCATGATTTTACTATGCAGCTGCTGAATGGTGTTTGTCTTCAATAACAGAATTGAACGGTTTGTCTGAATTGCAGAATCATTTATTGGCCAGCCAGCTAATATGAGGAGCGTAGAGTTTAGGAACTGGGGCTATTTGGGAAAAGAAATTGTGATAAGACGTTGAAGTTTGGAGTTGGAGAGTTGAGAGGGCTGAGCAGGTATATTGGAGTGAAAGAACCTACAGTGATGAGAATCGAAGTTACTCAGCAGACAGGGTTTTCAGTGAGGAACAAGTTAATCAAGGCCCAAGAGAAGAAAAATGGTTTATGAACACAGGAGTCTGAGGCATAAGTAAGTGAGGGGGTGCAAGACATGCACCAAGAAGCTGCATGATTTTTGAATTGTGTAGCTTGCCTTCATGCTCCTTACTTAGAAGTATTAAATCTCTGCTACTGTTTCGATTGATTCCTGTCTCATTCCTTGTGCAACTGGAAATACAATGTAGTGGAATGAAAGACCAGATGTCTGGAGGATGTTTTTATTACTGGTAGTGAAAATATGGTCATACAGAGTGTTCTGGGGAAAAACAAACAGGTCTGGACACTGTAATTAACAAGTACTCTGGATCATAATCTTTCAGTGCCCCAGTTTCTCATGTGGAAAATGAGGGTAATTATCACTTCCTGTAAAGACCTGTTAGAATGTGAGTACATTATTGGTTCTGATATGCTCAGATCCAAAAGTGAGGTGTGCCAAAAAAGAAGTCCTGAGAGAAGATGAACTATTCAGTTATGAGAGAATTGCTTGAATATGCTTACCAAATAAAGCCTGGGGTTGTGCATAAAGCAATAAGATTAAAACAAAATAGAAAATGACCACTTAATGGGTGAACAAGGTATTTGAGTCCTCTGATAGAAACAGTTTGAGATCATGTAGTTGAAGGCTTAGCATAGCCATTTGCAGAGAAGGGTTGAATTAAAAGTTGTATGGACCGTGCATTCCGGATTTTGGGGTCAACTTTTCAGTGTTTGACTCGTAATCTTCTATCAAAGCTTCCTGGGGGTGTTGTGTGTTTGCAGTAGTATATCCTGATAATTAGCTTGCTGTATGTATAGGTTTTAACCTTTTTAAAAGAAGATGAAGATTGTACTTTGACTCTTATGCCTGAATAATGCAGCAGGGTAATGACTCACTTCCAGTTGCACAAGCAGTCATTACTAGAACAGGGAATATAGCTATAGACCTGTAACTTATCCAAAAGCCATGTCCCTCTCTCCCTGAGAATTGTAGTACTGAAGCAGTTCTTTAGCTGATCAACATTTTAAGTGACCTTTATAACGGTAGAATCTTTAGATCTGAGAATATGTCCTACTCTAAAGCATGAATATGTAAAATACTGTTTTGTTGTCTAAAAAGCAATTAATCTGCCGAAAACCAAGCTGTATTTTGCAGGCATTGTTTCAGAGTATGATATGAACAGTTGTTACAATTTACTGTGAATGGTATCTGATCTGCTTGAAATGAAAGTCACTGCAACTTTAGCTTGCTGACAGTGTTTTTGCTGAAGAGGAAGGAAATATGGAAATATTTTATTTATTTATTTTGTTATTTAAATGCTGCTATTGCTGCTTTTGACTGGAACTCAGGCTTTCTTTTGCTTGAAAAGTGGAAAAATTACGGATTTGAAGCTTTCGTATTCGGTAATTGAATGGCCGAATTAAATACTGATAATGGGGAATTAAACTTCTATTTCTCTGGAGCTATACTGAGGATATGGTGCCAACTTTGTGGTAGGAGAAAGGTTATTTTGACTTGTATATATAAATGTATATACGACTGACTCCAGTGGCAGTAGTGGCAGTATTTTGTTGACTTTGTAAAGTATTCAGTGGCAGATTTTGTTGACTTTGTAAAAAGTAAAAAATACATATTTTTTAAGTGGCTGAGGGCACAGAATTATCATCTCCAGTATTAGATTGCTTAATATGCTTGTGCTGTACAAGAAATAGTATTTGTGATGCAATCTTAATGGTTGCTCTTTGCATGTGCTACACTCCAGTAAGAATTAATATTCAGTATGAGTGGGAAAGGTAAGATGGCTCCCTGTTGAATATGTGCTATTTTAACTCAAGCAACTGCACTTTACAGAAGGCAAAACCCCAAATGTTTGCATCTGTTGTGGGGCTTGTGTATCTAAATCAGGTAGTAAGGACAGTTCACTTTGAGACACAAAAATAGGCTGCTAATAGAT